TAAGTTGGTCATATTTATAATCTTAAGGTTATATTTTTATAGTAATCATATCCACCTAAGAAGTATGTTGGTGAGCTTATTTGATTCCATGAACCACTTTAGAGATTGATGGTCAATCACCAATATAAACCATTTCTTATATAAACAAGACCAAAAGTGTATAATGGCTCAAATTTCTACTAAAGCTTCTTTCTTGTAAGATAAATAATTAGAATTTGTATTGTTATTGCTTCTAGAAGCAAATACAATAACATATTCTTATCTTTTATTATTTTTTTATATTAAGTATTCTTTTAGTCAACTTTTGCTTTAGTATATGAAATGCTTGCTTTTACTTATAATCTATGTCTATAGCTAATATATTTTTATAAAAATAATTAACTTAGTAATTAAGTTGAAATTCTTAAAAAATTCATGTCATGTGATGTGATTTTTAATCTAAAAATATTTTGAGTATTTAGTTGTAGATAGTTTATTTTAAAATTTTAGCAAAATTTCTATAAATAGTTTTTTTAATATAAAAAATAAATAAATAAAATAATAAATAAAAAATTATATGCATAAAAACCTTTTATATTTAAGTCTTTCTATGGCAACTATAAATCCTTTAATAGCCTTTGCTATGTAAATCTATAACTAATAAAATTTTGATAATTTAGATTTTTAATAATTTCATAAGAAAATCCATAATTTTTTTTTAAAATTTTATCTTTATATCAAACTATATATCTATTTTGTAAAATTTTATAAATTCTTGGCTTCCAAAAACTTCTTTAATTTTTACAAAATAATCAAATTGTAATAAAATCGCATCAATATTTTATTTATTTATAAAATATTTTTTTCTTCTTAAACTCTAAGATTTCATATTTCTTGAGCTAATTATTATTATTTTTATTTTTTTAGATATTATAGCATATATCTTTAATCCAAATTCAATCAAACTTAGTATACAGATTTTAAATATGATATTATATATTCTTAAAAAAATTCAGCTGAAACTTATACAATTTTCTTGAAATATAGCTCAAAATATAACCAATAAATAAGCAAGTAATGTTTTGCTCTTATATTGTAAGTTCTAATTTTAACTTCCAATATCTCATTTCTTTTAGTTTAGATTTTATTGAGTTATATATACTAAATATAATTAAAAAAAATTATTATTTTTAATCTTTATTTTTAATTCTTAATTATTTTCTAAACATATGCATTATATCCCAAAAAGTGACAATAGGCTCAAAATCAACACTCTAACTTTGATAGCATTTATCTCTTTTACAACAATCCAAATTATTCAATTTTTATACCAAAACCATGTACAAAATCATAAAATTGATGATCCTAACTTCTATATGATTTTAAACAAGTAACTCTAATTATTAATAATATTCCTTACATAATCTTCTTAAAGCCCATTAGGCATGACTTTTGGCTTATATGAATGGAGATTTCTACCATCCATATCATTGATATGGCTTTCATCAAATTGCATAATATATTTTATATCATATATATATATATATATATATATATATATATATATATTATTTTCATATAGTAGTCAAATCAATACAACACAACATTAAAAATAATAATTTGTCAATCCAAAAAAAACTCAAAGCTGTGACATATTATTTGGTACATGAATCTTTTGTATTGTTTCTACATTTGTTTTACTTCTACATGCTATAATCTTTTGAATCAATCATATACTCCAAGTATGGTAGCTGTTCACAAAAGAATTTACACTTGCCATGATACAAGCATAACCTCCATGCTTATAATTGTTCAAATACTACTTGAAAATGCCTCATATATTCTTATGGACTACTACTAAAGATGATAACATTATCAATATAACATCTTGTAAATAGCAAGCCAATCAAGACCTAGTTTATCATCCTTTAAAATTTAGTTGGTGTGTTTTTGAGACCAAATAAAAGATATTTTAAATAATAGAGTTGATCCTTATGATTAAGATGAAGTCCCTAATTTTTTTTCTATAACCAATCATTTAATAATAACAATAAATAATAATAATTAGATTACAAATCTAAAACATTTAATATTTAAAAAGATCTCATTTATCAAATAATTCTTATAGTATTGACATAACATACCAATCTTACTTGGTCTTATAATTAATTAGGTGGTAATCTCAATATTTTTTTTCCATCTAATTGTCATATATATCTTTCTTAGAAGAAGTAATTATAGCATAAGATTTCTTGTCATTGGATAACTTAAGTTCGTTAACAACTAATAATTCTTGAGATTAAATTTGAATAATAACTTTTGTAATAGATTGAGTTTGTAAGATTGTCAAAAGATTGGATGGTCATTTTTTAATTATATATGGATTGATTTAGCTTTGTATCATTCCACAATGTTAAGATTAAAATCAAAACAATTATAATACAAGTAAATAACAACATTCTTGCCATTGCCTAAGATTCAAAGTTTGAATTTCAAGATTAAAATGTACACAAGCCATGATTAAAATTATAAAGAAATAATGTTAATAATTATCTTGTAATTTCTTTGGAAAAAGTCTTTAAATAAAAATAGATGTATCTAAGGTTCTTAATAATAGAGGTATTATTTTCAATAGATTCATCAATTTTTTTTTCTATTTTTTAAGATTAACGTTTACAAGTTTGTTGCTTTCAAAGCAAACAATGATAATATTACAACATAGTTTTTTCACTTCTTTTCTTACCAACTTTTTATTCACAATTATCTCATAAGGAATAGTACAAACAAGTAGTCTTGCATAACTCTTGGAAAAACCAAAAAACAAAGAGTCACTTAATGACAGTTTAGTTGGATAGAATTACTTTTGCAATAAGTATAGGTCACAAGAGTCTAGAACTTCATGCTCTTGTATAGGATCTATTAAAAAAAAACTATGATTGTTCTTTGAGTTTTTGATGATTTTCTTATATAAGACTATTTATTGTATCAATAATATCTTTGATTCTATAAGCATAAATTGCCATACTTCTATCAATTCACAAAGTTTTGCAACAAAAAATTTGAATACTATAATGCAACCAAAGATGTACCTCCTACTAACTATTAGACTATTATATTAAATCCTAATACAACCACCACATCAATGCTTGGCCATGACCATTCTCTTTTCTCAATTAATAGTTTTAAGTTTAAATTTATTAATATTTATTTTACATTATATATGGAATTTTGAATAAATATCATATGATATATAGAAGAATTAGTATAAAAAATAAGATTGCAAATTCAAAATGTTTGTGTAATATTAACCATATATATATATATATATATATATATATATATATATATATTAACAAGATTATAATTTAATATCCATTGCCAACTTCAATATTAGATATACAATTATATCAAAAAGATTTATCCATAATTTCTATATTTTTGAGATTTGTATTTCATTAATTTATTTATTCACAAAATTAGTACAAATTTTATTTGATCATTTGTTAGCCTTTTTGTCTATTTATATGAATATATGGTTAACTATTAGCATTAAAGGTTTATAGAAGAGGCACTCTAAATTAAATTACTTGTCTAAATAGAACCTTAACATAACTCATTGTGGTTATCATACAGCTCTATTAGATTAGTATCTTTGAAGATTAAGGCATATCAAAATCTTTTGTCTACAATTCCATTAACATCTTTATTCTTCTAAAATTTTAAAAATAAAAAATAAAAAATAGTTTAGTAGAATTGCAATCATTAGCCAAAATAACACAAATGACCTACCATAATCTTCAAATGAAATATGTCTAAGATTGCATTTATATTTCTATATATTTATTAATCAATTTTATAGTTTTTACTACAATTATAACCAATTATTGCTTTGTTTAAGTATCTCAATACATAAGAAAGTTGGAAAGAAAGTTTGAAAGAGACTTAATATCTAAGTTTGACATTAAGAACCACAATTTATAAAATTTCAACATGCTGAATGTTGTCCACTAAGCGAGAAATACATGGCATTCTTTTGTTTTAGACTTATTGTTGTAATATTAATTTAAAAGAACAACTTTTTTATATCAATTCACTTCTAATTCTCAAAAAGTATTTAAGTTCCTATTGTTTTAATATATTCTCCCATTATCATATAAAGAAGCCTAATGCTAGTGTATGTATAAATACACATGCATGTGTTATTATCCTAACTCTGCACAAATTAGAAACCAATACATAATAAAAATATCTCATACATTCAACAAACCATGAAGATACTTATAAATGTATACAAACTATATATATATATATATATATATATATAATACTAATTAAACGATAGAAGGAACAAGTTATTGTAAATTTTTTAGTGATATAAAATAGAATGTTATTTCTTTAGTTTTTTCAATTTATTTTCATGATTAAAAAATGTACGTATCTAAATAGAATGTTTTTTATACTTACATTGCTCAGCCACTGACAATATTACATCTTTGAATGATCAATAAACTATTTTTTTGCCAATTTAATTTCCATTGTTCATACTACATATCAAAATTAAAGATCATTGATGGAACACATAATGTTATAAAATTTAGAGAAGCAATACTTGTGTTAATAAAAACATACCACATATTATAAAATTATTATAAGCATATATGTTCAGTTATATAGTTAACATGTATAAGTAAAGATGAATAAATAGGCTTTTAAAATATATTTTTGATGCAGCTTAAAATAGTTCTTAAATGCAAGAATGAAAATAATATTAAGAAAAGTAAAAGAGACATAAAACAATGACACTGAAGATATTCAGTTTGTTTATATGTGCATGTTTGAAATAATACTACAATTTGTAAAATAAAGTAAAACTTATTAATGTTTGAACATAAATAACATGCTCGTTCCTCAGCACAAGACGTAAACGGTTGGAAACTTAGGTGAAGGAAAGCTTAGCATGCCATCACGCACAACCGGATTAAAAACAGCGAAAACAACAAACCAAGTATAAGTCATTCGGATTGCAATATAAACACCAGAGATATGTGAATCATTTCTTCGCTTTCAGAGAAAGCAGGTAATTGGAGATTGTACATCGACAGATAATGTGTTCATCACATTATTCCATGAAGATGCTTCATTAACCAGATAAATAAACTCGCTACTAAGATAACTGCACTAGAGGACCAACCGGAAAGTACAAGCACCAACCGGACAAGAAACTAACCAAAACAGACGAGCTACTTTCTCACGATCTTGCCAGAAATAAGGTCCAGTGCAAACCAATCTTGTGGTAGACAGGGCTCAAGTATTGCACTACTAATCGACAGTATGTGGAAGATTATCCACTCACCGTCACCCCTCCACAAATAAAAGCAACTTGAAACTTAGCATGCGTTTCAGTCCTCGGCTTCAACAACTTTCTCCTTGTCATCCGCTCCAACCTCATCCTGCAATAGAGTATTGCCAATGCGTGAGGAAGTCACCAGAAAGATCATCGGATTATAAATCGAAGGTAAAATTGAATCGAAGCTCAAATACATAATTTCACGGATTGGGCTGGTGCTTGACATTGTGCATTCAAACTTACCTGCATGTCAGAAGTCCACAAAGTGAGGTTATCACGGAGAAGCTGCATAATTAGAGTGCTGTCCTTGTATGACTCTTCACCAAGAGTGTCTAGTTCGGCGATAGCTTCATCGAAAGCCTGAGTTAACAGAAACTCAGTGTTAGCATTGAAACAAAACAAATCAAAAAGGATAAAACTTTCAAAACCCAATCAGATCTGGTCTGTATTAAGTAATGCACAAACAATTACTGAAACTACAGAGCCATTAAACGAAACCGATATTGACCTGCTTGGCAAGAGTGCACGCCCGATCGGGGGAGCTGAGAATCTCGTAATAGAACACAGAGAAATTCAAAGCCAAACCCAATCGGATGGGGTGAGTGGGTGCTAACTCTGTCAACGCGATATCCTGCACATATCGACACAAGCGTCAGCCATTGTGATGATATCTATTACCTAGAGATGTAACATTCCCGATCCAACTCTAAGTTTGGAACTCGTCATTAGCCAGTCTAAGTTGACACCATCTGAATATTCACACGATGCTCTGTAATGTACAGATGTACTACTTTCACACTAGGTCTGCATTGATATCAGACCCCACGATGCGGGCATGAAAAATGAATCCCTCGAAATTTTAGGATAACCGCGTCAAACGACAGCTGCAGAACAATGGAGGCAAAGCGGAAAACACAAGCTTTTGAAGCGTGACTCATCCGAGAGCAGCGGACATTACTTGGGCGGACTTGTAGGCTAACAATGTGGCCTCAGCAGCTTCCTTCCTCTCGGCTCCAGTCTTGAACTCAGCCAAGTACCTGTGATAATCTCCCTTCATCTTCAGGTAAAACACCTTCGACTCACCAGTGCTAGAAGTAGGAATGAGATGGGTATCCAACAACTTGAGAATACTGTCGCAAATGGTGCTCAGCTCCGACTCCACCTTGGCGCGGTATTCCTTGATGGCCGCAACGTGCTCGTCATTGCTTTTGCTTTCCTCCTTCTGCTCGATCGAGGAAATAATCCTCCACGAGGCCCTTCTGGCACCAACCACGTTCTTGTACGCCACGGACAGCAGGTTGCGCTCCTCAACGGTGAGCTCCTCCGTGTCCACAGTCTTAGCTACCTTCTCCATGGCCTCCACCATCTCATCGTAACGCTCAGCCTGCTCGGCCAGCTTGGCCATGTACACATTCTCCTCCCGTGCCTCGGTCGCCATGGTAGATCTCGCTCGTTATGGCACCAAAATGGACGTGACAAAGCTCGGACAAGCACAGTGAGACACCAAGTGCTGATCGCGGGGTAGAGACAAAGAGAAAGCTGACTCGAGAGCTCAGAAAGTGAACGAGCTTGAGCGAGGGCGACAAACAAGCTCACGGTTTCAAGCTCCGACAGAATACAAAAAGGCGAACTCAGGGGGGGAGGAGCCCAGTGGACGCTAGGGTTTCATCGATGGTCATAGTTTCATTCATCCATAATCTAAATATGGACGTGTCGGGCTGGAAGGAATTCCACTCGATCTGACCTATGGCAGCAAAAAGGACAAAATTATCTCATTGTTTACATGAACCAATAAAATAAAGAATTCCAGCCGTCCTTCTGAATAATAAAAATTATATTTAGCATTCCCTAAATCACTCAATCGATCTGATCATACTCTCACCTTAAATAAGAAAAAGCCTCGTTCTAATTCCAAACCCTGTGACAACGCCTTTATCTTACATCCAAATTTTGTTTCTTGTGAATGAATAGAGTTTTGGATTGTGTTTAGAACCTATTTGTCAATTTATTTCATATGATGAGTTGCTACTTTAGCTCATCAATTGGTTCTTCATATATATATATATATATATATATAGCTTTTAGTAATAAAAAAAGAAGTTACTTAAGCAACATCTCTATGTTGTTAACATGACACCCCCCTAGGTTCTCATGATTAATTTAGTCTATCTCCCATCCCTCTCTTTGTTTCTAACTCCCATCCCCATTTTTAAACCGTGTCCTCTCTCCCATCCCTAGTCCCAATTTCCTTGTCTCCCATCACCCGTCCTCCACGTCAACTCTTCCATCGTTGTTCTCTATTCTTATCCTCCATTCCCAATGCTTGTTCCATGTTCTTGTTTCTTATTATAGTGAATAGTAATAGTGGCCTTGAACATAGTTGGTTTTTTATAAAATTATTTTGTAACTAAAATGTTGTTGATATTGAATTGTAATTAAAAGATAGTATATCTTATTAGAATTTTAAGACTATTGGATTATTCAATTATATTTTTTGTATTTGTAAAATCTTAAAAAAATAGTTTAAATTAAAAATACACATGTCTCTTGAAATAGATATCATGTGTACAATCCATGGCAAAAGGCTTTGAGATTCAAGGATGATTTTCTAAGTAAGAAACTTGAATTGCTTTGAAAGTTGTTTTTGATAAATTACAAATGGAAATGGGAATAAGAATGGAGGATAACAAATATGGAATAAGGAGCAACAAATATGGAATAGATTATGAATGTCAAGAAAGAAGGATGGATGACAAGGGCTAGAAACAAGAAAGTATTGATATGAAATGAAAAAAAAAAAAAAAAAAAAAAAAAAAACTAGAAATAAGAAACAAAGATGAGAAGTTGGCAAGTGAGAAGGAAGAAAAAGGATAGACTAAATTAATGATGAAAACCTAAAGAAGTACTGCATTAACAATATATATGTATTACTTTAACAACTTCTTAAAAATATATATATATTAGAATAAATATAATATTTAATAGAATCTTTAATTATAAAATAAGTATAAAAATATATAAAAATATTTTATATATATTCATGTAATTTTTAATAGAACTATGCTTTTTAGTTTTGTCATGAAATAAGTATTTGGAGGCATAGTATTGAATACAAGTCATAAATAAGCTTATAGTTAAAGATAATTTAATCCCTTGTTTATTAATCATTCATTCAATAGGCTTTGGTATTTAATATCAATGAATGTCATAAATATATATAATAACCTAGATAATAAGAATTAAATAGAATATGAAAATAGATAGATTTGATAATATTTTATAGAGAAGCTTCTTAAAAGCTTTATAGACTTGGATTTGAATTCATAAATGCTTTGTAGGCAATTGATAGGTTGACAACTTAACCAACAAGTTGGCTATGTATTGCACATATTGATAATTTGTATTACAAATTGGCCATGTGGTGCATATGTAAAAAAACTTGTATTACAAATTAGACACATGTTCTATAAGTTAGACATGTACTAAAGGTCCAATAGAATGTTGCCACTTAGCTCTTACTTACATATTATATATGGATGCAAGAATAAAGCTTTTTTTATTCTTGTCAACAACTTTCTTATTCTTAGTTTTATTCCAAGAGTCTTTGGCAATAGTCATTCTAGTTCTAATATTATATTATCTTTGGATGATGATTCATTCTTTTTTAGTAACATAAGAGTGTATTGATTCTTTGGTTCTTTGCAATTCATATCTTTGATAGTTTGACAAGAGTGCTAATCCAATATTCTTCATTTGTTGTAGAAGTGATTATATTATCTCTCTTCTTTTATTATGGTTTAAAGATTGCAGATTATCCAATTTTAAATGAATATTTTGGTTTTTAAATATTGATTTTTTTCTTAAAAAAAATAGACTATCCTTCTTTGAAGAAATTTTTAGTTGATATTAGAGATTAAAGATTATTCTTTAGTAATTTGATATGTGGATTTGTTAAAACTATGTGTTATAGAATTTGGAAGAAAACTTATGAATATTATATTTAGCAGAGGTGAAAATATATTTGCAATTATTACAAATCTTCATGCATTTTCAAACCTTTTTAAGGTTGGAATTTAACATATTATAAATTTTAACTATGAAAGTATTATTTCTACATCTATAGAAAAGTCAACTATGAGGTTCAATGTCTATGCTAAGAAGTTATGCAGTTGGAAGAAGTAAGTACATCTACTTCTTAATTAAATCTAAGAAGTCTTGCTACTATAAGCACATAAGAAGAAAAAATTAATATGTCTAAAAATTTCAATAGAATAAGATCAAAATTTAAAAGATTTCTACAATAAGCCAAATTCTATCTAAAATTACATCATTTCTAATATTTTGATTGATTTATTCAAGTTGGATTTATAGGCACCTTCTTATGTGGAAGTGATCTCTCTTGATTTGTACCTTTGATGGAAAAGAATTCATAACTCTTATATGATCTAAATTTATTTTTAAAATTATTTATGGCCATATTTAAAGAAAGTGATTGGAAAAAAGATAATGAAAATAAAACTCTTATATTTATAACAAAAATCACAATTAGCTATCATATATGCTGCTAAATTCCAAAAACTTGCTTATAATATTGATTTGAATGAAGAAAATTTTATTAATAAATTTTGATATAGATTAAAAGATAATATCAAAGATTTATTATTGAAAATGCTAAAAGAAGATTTATTGGAATAATTTATTACTCAAGCCATAGCATGCAATAATTAACTTTTTGAAAGATGCAAAGAATAAAGATTTAGATTAAAAATAAAAAAAATAAGCAATGATGATAATTTTTAAGTTTTTAGAAACTTATTCATCAAAGTTATAATCTATAAAAATTGATATGATATATTTTAATCGCTCACTCAATTAAAAAAGATTCAAAATTTTTAAGAAGAATTATATTAATATTGCAGAGAACTTAAGTAAATTGTTTAACATTGTTAAAAATATATATATATATATATATATACAATCATAAAATAAAGAGCATGGTTGCCAAAATATACAATGTCTTAAAAAATAAATTTGTCTAGCTACAATAAGGATCATGTGGCTAAAATCTAGGATAATACCTAATTTAAGTTTTATTCTCTCTTCAAATCCCCCATTTTAATTTATAACAGATATTTTTTTAAGACAAAAAAATTACAAAGTCTTTATTTTGTTAAATTCAAGAGCCTCAAATTGTTTTATAAATAAATAAATTATTAAAAAAATAAATAAATATTCCTAATTAAAAAAAACTAAGTCCATACATGTAAAAGTCATAGATGGTCATTTGTTATATTCGTAGATTATAAGAGATTTAATAAGATCATTATCAAGAATGGATATCCTATATCTTTATTATCATATTTCTTTCATGAATTGAATTAAAAAAAGATCCATACAAAAATAAATCTACAAGAAGCATATAATCTAATATGCATAAAAGATCAAAATAAATAGAAGATTACATTTTGAATAAAGTATGGATATTTTGAATATAATGCCATGCCCTTTGGAATGACAAATACATCAAATATTTTTCAAAATCTAATAAATCATATTTTTTGAGAATTTTTAGATGAGTTTTTTATTTTTTTTATTTAGACAATATTTTAATCTACTCTAGAAACATAAAAGAACATGAATTTCATATTTGTTATGTCTCAGAAAAACTTAGAGATGCAAGACTATATGCTAAGATAGAGAAATGTATATTTTACATAATTCAAGTTGATTTCTTAAAATATACCATTTCAAATGATGGTCTTATTCCTAAGAAATTTCAAACTATTATAGATAAGAAGATTTAAAAAATAAAAAGATACATACATTATTTTTTGAAATTTATCAATTATTATTAATTTTTTATTAATTTTCAAAAAAAGTTATAGCTTCTCTTAAATGTTTGACATGTAAAGACAAATTTGAGTGGAAAAAAGAAGCTAAAGTGGTATTTGAAGCTTTAAAGATAACTTTAACTTTATTATAATTTTATATTGTATTTATTTTTTTAAGATATTTTTTATGGAAAAAAATGCATTAGACTTTGTCTTAAATAAAGTATTGTTATAAATATAAGCAGATAATAAACTTCATTTTATATCTTTTTATTAAAATTTTTTTTTTAGCTAAGATCAATTACATAATTTGTAATAAAGAGCTTTTTGCAATTATAGATTCATTTCAAAAATAGTGCCATTATTTAATAGGGACTTCTAATTTAGTGACTTTATACAAATTATAAGAACCTTAAATATTTCATGTCAATATATCCAATATCTTATATAGCTTTAAAAAGATACTTGGAACACATGATATATATATATATATAGACTTTAATAAATATAATCAATAAGTAATTACATGGATTTATTTACAAATGAAAAATAGTCCAAGTCTACAATAATCAGAATTTTCATAAAAATGACTAGTCTTGATATTATGACAAAGTAATTATACCTTATTTTCAATGCAAAATTGAGGTTTTTCTTTTTGCAATAAACAATTTTATTGAACTTTTGTAATTCTTGAGCTTCTTTTAATCGTGCCTTTATTTTTGTATGTAGTTTTAATTTATAATTTATTATATCTTTTGTTATAAGCTTATCAATTTTTGAAAAATAATTTTTTTTTGATAAATACAATTTGTTGCATATTAGACTTCTTCAACATATGATTAATGCTCCTTGTGGGACTTCTTTCTAAAAATAAAAAAAAAAAGAGATTATGTCATAGACATACATAATTACATAGATAATCAAAACTAGTTAGAATATAAAAGTAGATAGATTATTTAATATCTTATAGAGAAGTTGTTTAGAAGCTTTATAGACTTAAATTTGACTTTATACATATTTATAGGTGATTGATAGGTTGGAAACTTGGATAATAAGTTGGCTTTGTATTTCGCATGTTGACAACTTGTGGTACAAATTAGCCATATGGCACACATATAAGAAACTTGCATTGCAAATTAGACATGTGTCTTACAAGTAAAACATGTATTGGAGGTTCTATAAAACATTGCCATATAAATTCTAGTTAGATAGTATATATGGAAACAAGAGTGAAGCCTTCTTTATTCTTATTAGTACATTTCTTGTTTTTAATTATTATCTTTATTATTTTATTTTAAATATCTAAATAAATCACACAAATTAATTGAAAAAAATTAACATTATTTTAATTTTCCTAACAACATCCAACATCTTCTTTTTCAATACAATTATTACTTTGAAAAATTATCTATTGAGATTTCTTATGTGATTGTCCTTATTTTGGATAGCACATGTTTGTTTTGTGTTTTCTTTTCTTTTCAATATATTTTTTTTCTCAATAAGCTGTTTTTTTGTTTCATTTCCTTTGATTTATTTTTTTGCAGCCAAATATTTTGAATTTTTGATGTTTGAATTCATGTTGCTTTCAAAATTAATGACTTTTCATATATATATATATATATATATACATACATAATATCATTTTTTTTCCAAACTTGCCTTTTCAATATTATAATAAAAAAAATCTTATTAAAAACTACATGTGCAATGTCATGTGAATTACATGTGTATTTATAAACTAATAAATTTATTATTATTAATATTATACATACATGATACATTAAAAATTAAAAGCATTGACTAAATTTCTTACAATGTAAACAAAGAACTTGTAATATTTGATTTAAATAAATAAATATATTAGTATGAAAATATGCTTTTTTTGTACATCATCAATAATAAATCCAGTAGGTCACTTTTCCAATCTTTTGACAAAGTATTTTCCCTTTAGAATATGCAACATATGTACAAAATTCTGTTGCCTACTACCAAAAAAAATGATGACAGATAGTACAAGGTATCCATTCTGCTATTGGTAAAGTTCCAGCATGTTTTATAATTGAAACTATACAATAAATAATAAAAATGGAAAAGTAAAATATGTACATGCACATGTATATTTATGTAATTCATTGTTTATAAAATATAAAATTGAGAAAGAATTACAAGAATTGCAAACTTTTTGTATAAATAAAGTAAAATGCAGACATTTTTTTTTTCATTTGTTTCGTATATTGCTCCAATGGATGTATATTGATTTTGATGATTATGATAAAACAGTGTATCAAATTGAAGTTGGATTCAATTTTTTTATAACAAAAAAAATATTTTAATAATTTAAACCATCAATGATATGGTTCTAATCAAATTCTTAATGACACAACATCAAATTCGATATTAATTTCACCCATCTCTTGAGACTCTCAACATCAGTATTTTGCATTTGACATACTTGTAAAATTTGTTTTGCAATGTTTCAGATATCTTATTTGCAAAGAAAATAATATCAAGTTGTTGCTTATCTCATATTACATCAGTTTAACGTAGAAGCCCCAAGCTTATAGAAAATGGCTGCTTCAGATACTTTTGTGAATAATTATTGCAAAACACATAGCCTTACAGTAGGGAAGTGTAAGAAAATAAAACAAAACTTCTCTGCCCAGTTTTTGTCACTCTATAAACAACTGTTCCATCACTGAGTAAAAGTAAGATATGAATTTTTCATTTCGTTTTTAATGGAAATTTTCAAAAATATAAAAGTATCACTGAAATAACAAAAATAGTTAATGTAAACTTGAACACATGTATGTTATTTTGGTTGGGTCCACCTTTTTAGATTTATGAGCTTTTCAAGTGCAAATATATGATTCATGCGATTTTATTTTTTATAATCTTTGTGTATAGTGTAATTTATTTATTTAATTTAATTTTTCCCTGTAACTTTAGTAATCTTTTGATGTTTACAAGAGAAGTCTTAAGATTCATATTTGCTCTTATACATGCATAGGATGTGGTATTTATTATGAATTTGTGAAATAACCTATTTTACATTGACTTTTTTTTTGGTATTAGAAATAAAATATTTTATGAAAAAGGTGTGATTATTTTTATTAATTTTTAACATACATAATGCACATTACTAACACTAACTTTTTTGTAATTGAAAACATTACATTTATATTAAAAAAAACCTTTCACGTTGAAAATCATACAATTTATAAACTGAATTTTAATAATACACTACTCAAAACTAATTAGTTTTGAAAAAACAGTGATAGATATAGAGGTTTCTACTTGGCTTAGTGCATGAAATTAATTATAATATAAGGATGGTACAAAATTATACAATACTTTATTTTTTTTCTTTAATATAATCTTTACGGCATTAAAAAAAATCCATAACATCAAACAGTATATGCAAAAGTCCAAAGCTTTAAATGTTAAGGTGTAGAAGATCTACATTTGATTCACAAACAATGGAACATTTTTAAAGCTTTTATAGAAAGTTTTATATATTATATTACTTCAATTTGTAGGTATAAATCGTTTCAAATAATTTTATGATAGAATTGTACTACTAATATACTATTCTCTAAATTAGTTACACATTATACTAATTACTTTGTATATAATTTCTAGAAAATAAATTCCAAAAAATTAAATTGATGTCTATTCAGCTTTGGTTGTTTCACCTTGCTTAATGCACACTATTGCCCTTCTTTCCCTCGAGGAGCAAAATTTCCCTTCAAATTATAATTCTTTCTTGCAAAACCCAACTCTACAAGACTCCCTCCAAACTAAAGATTTGTGGGTGAATTCAACATGCAAATTATCATCCACTAAAAGCCGTCCATTTGACCCCTTGCACTTACTTTCTACCCTAGGGCAACTAAGAAGCAACATGCTAGGCATAAGATTTCTCTATTCAAACCCCTCCACAAGATTTTTTTTAGAATTTTCATAATACGAACAAAAGAAATAAAGAAGAAAAAATGCATAAGAGTGAGAGATAATACACTAAAATCATATAATAATGCAAAAAAGGATAGCACTGGAAGAAAAAGGATTCAGAAACAAACAAAAATTGGTAAATTTGAACTGCAATTTTTTTTTGAAAAGGTATTGAATATTGTAGGGGTTCAAATTCAACCCTATTAATGGCACTAGATTACCAACCTACACAGGTACAAACTCAACGCAAAAGAATGCTCGCTTTGTTTTTTTTTGCAATCTTTCCAAGAGAGAGAGAATTCTACTGCAAATCCATACGCCATTTAGTGGTTAACCCAAATGGGTAGAGATTACAACACTGGTATCCAGTAACAATTGGCTGTTGAAAACCACAGTTATTGTATGCTGGAACTATGAACTACACTGATCGGCCGCCAGATACTAGTGTAGGAGGGGTCTCATAGTTGTAAGATCAATCTTGTTGTGGCAATTGTACATCATGGAAACATGTCAACTGATTCAGCTTAAATTTAATAAAGCTCCAGTCAGAAAGCGGTGGGACAAAACGGCGTCGACAGTGGGCCTTAATCTGTAATCGGGGTTGAGCATGGCCTGCATCGACATGGACAACAACGTGAGACGATCAACTTCTCCGTGGTGAAGCAGTTGTTGCATGTTGGATATACCCAGTAAATGAGTTTTGATAAAGCAAGCTGGAAACTGTGACAAGAATAAGCTTGAGTTCTACAATGTGGGTTCATTTGTGCTACCGACCTGCAGTAGCTGCCATCCTGCACCGTCGTCAAGATTCATGAAGTTCACAGCCTCGCTCCAGCGGTCATCAGCCTCACAATATCTGTATATTCAAGGCAAACGTTAAAATGTATGTATGTATGTATGTAGAAAGAAAGAAAGAAAGAAAGAAAGAAAGAAAGATTCACGCAGTCATTCCAGTCTCATATTACTGAAATTTCATGGAAGAATTGCAGACACTACCGAGGGACATAAAAACAGAAGAAGCGATACTGATTCATCTGACTCAATACAAACTATTTAGAAGGTGACTCCACCGAAGAAAAAACAAAAGCCAGTCACAAGGACTTGTATTTTGTCACTATATTTTGTAAACTAATGATGAAAATTTGCAGAAGAAATAAACGGTTGGTGGCTTTCACTTACTCACGAACTGCTGGAATGTCGAGCCGAAATGTTGTCTCCAGTAGCCTCTGTGTAGCCATGCACAGCGAATGGTTTGGTTGAAAGATATGTTGAAAATTCAGAATTTTGCTAAATTTTGACTAAATTTTGCGCAGAATGATTGTATTCCAGTCGAGTAGGCGATTGCTTACTTGTATTGAAGGACCGTCAATGCTGCCAGCTTCGCTGAGAGGCACAAAGACCATGTACGCCAACAACAACCCCCCAGCGTATCTGCGAACACCAACCATTCGCATGCTTAACCAGCTCTTGAATCCAAGCCTAAAAACTTATCCAACTGACCAGTTATAGTAGGATTGATTTCCTACATGTCATCTGCTATGCCGAAGGATCTTCTCGACAGTGAGTCACGAGCTCCCGCCATAGCCGCTCTGCGCCACAGACCTTCAGAGAGCTTTGCTACTGCAGGGTCAATAGCAGAGTCTCGTGTTCCGGAACTCAAATTGCTGCCACGTCCCTCCCAAAGATCTTCCAAAGTGGGTCCTCCAAAGGCTGCCAGTCCACTACTAACAAGAGCCTTCGTCAGTTGTTGGCGAGGTTAATGATCGAGTGACTCCAACGTTGACAACGGTGTTACTCTACGTTGATTTAATAGAGGTAGTGAATTATAAAGAATTCAAGAGATGTACTTGACAAACTCAATTCCAGAAGATCGAAAGATCAAATGAACATGGTGAACAGGTTGAAACTTACACGTTACCTCACATCAGTAGAGAAGGCAAGGTCACGTAGACGTGCATTGAGGTACATAGCGTCACGCTCAGAAGTTGTGCTGGACATTCCCAATATTCCTTATTTTCAGAATCAGGTTTGGTAAACATTGACAAAAGAGGTAAATATCGACACAAGTCACATTCCAGAACGTGAAGTGGATACTAATTTGATTACTGGATACCAAAACCTCGCTAATAACATACTGTATGCCAGAAAAACTGCAGCTCACTTGATAACAATCGAGGCAGGACCAAGGCTTTGGTGGAGACGACCCCGAGAGTGAATGTAAGCTAGCCCTTGAAAAGCACCACGTAAGAGCTTTGTGATGAATATAAGGCGTCTTTGGATGGGTCTGGTCTTGTCAAAGCGATCCCAGAAGTCCCATTCCCCGACTGCCCGGCCTTCTGTAGTGGCTTCAGCAGCCATTTTTGCGTAGTCTGCTGCTGTCGCTTTGCCATCGTCTCGAAACACTAGCCACTGCCCTACGGCAACTCAGTCAGACATTACAAGCGCATGAAGAAGGCTCTAACCAGCAGAAAATATCTAGGATTAAATTAGCTTTCTGTAAACGGGGTTTGTTCATTGCTGCAAAATCGTCAAAATAAATTGGCAGGGAACTTAGAAGAATTCAAAGTCAATCAGATGCACCTGCTCCCCTGTTTTAGTTTGGAAACCACCATATAGATACGAAATGTTCTCAGAAATCTCCCCTAATTCCTCATCCTGCAAAGTGAGCGTCATTTTTAAAATCACCATCCAACTATTATAATGACCACTAATCATGAATGAGACTACTGTAGGATGAAAACCCTACAGTAGGTTGCTATAGAGCTTATTAAGTACATCAGCTAGGTCCTGTAGTCAGCATTTCTTTCCAAAGTGTTTAAGATTTCTTCAACTCATTAACTTCCAAACAAGATAATCGAAGAAAACTTGACAATACTATACCCAAGCAATCGAACTCGTAGCTCTCTACCCGTGTGTTGTTTAAAAATTAATATATTTAAATCAAACATACCTGAAGAACAACATGGGCCGCAAGCTCATTAGCAGCCATCACATCTGCGTCGCTACCTGACGTTACCATTGCAGGATATGCCTGACTAGCCCACAAATTGTTACCAGATACATCACTGACTGACTATTGTAGCAATTGCTAAAATAGTCAACAAAAACACGGAGAAGAAGAAGAAGAAAAAGAAGACTATATTGACCAGATATTATAACAAAGTGGATCCGAGAGAGACGACTATCTCGATTCGTGTCAGGTAACCACAATATCTTCATGTTTTTCAAGAACACGACTTGCAAGAACAGTCCCAACCAGACCTATAACGGTCGCAATACAGGAAGACAAACAAAAGAATACGAAGAAAGTGCTTAAAGTGTTTATGAATAACGAGACGTGGCTTACAAATGCTAGATACGTCACAAAAGTGAACATAAACCAAATACTGGACTGGCTATAGTTTACTAAAACATAAAAATTAAAACAAAACCCAAAGAAGTGCACCTTCAGTATTACACGAGTACCCATCCTTTCACCCCTGCCTATACGCCCTGCATACAACCTGCATGAAAACTGGCATCCTCTTCTGTTAGCATGGGATCTTTTCTCGTAAAACGCACTAGCTACATTGCTCCTCTTGCACGTTGTATGTTAAACCTTCATAAGTCTACCGCGATCATCTAGACGTGAAGGTAAATACAGTGGCGCAACACTATCTGTCCCACTCCAGCTTTGTAAAGGTCGTGTAAACTACCACACTTATTACTGCGTGTATGTGTCCCAAAAAGGGCAAAATTAGCTAAATTGGGCGGAAGCAGCTCTTGGTATGGAACTACAAGAGCTTCAGCTAAATTACGACCCATGACGAAAATAACCAGAACATGCAACGTACTAATATTCAGCAGAAGATCCTCTGCCAATTGATTTTGTATCACTGTCAAACTATGGTATTCACGCTGCAAATGAGGACACTTGTTTGAAAAATGCCAGAATGTATGCTAAAACAGAAATCCAAGGGTTGTTGATCACCTTGTCTGAACACTTCCTTCACCAACTTCCTGTCCTCCTATCCGGTTAAGATCTCGTTGATCCATACCTAAGGGTGCATTCTCGCCCAAGGCGGCTCCAAACATACTACTCCCTGGTTGTGGTGGAGTGTAACTGCAGAACAGCAAACCAGTTCCAGCTTAGTTAACACTTAAAATCTACCAAACCAATTGTAGAGTTTATACTTGTATACACAGTCATACCATTATTTTCTTCAATAGTTGAGAGTGTAATCCTCTTAACGTTCGAAGCCAATTGCAGAACATCAATCCTAGTTTCTCGCGAGAAATGAAAATCAACGTAGGGTTGATAATGAAACTGCTCAGCAACACCGCCAACCTTAAACCTCGATGATCACATCATATAGTGGCGGAAAAAAAAAACAAAAAAACAAAAAAATCAAAATTAAAATTGCACGTAATTCACCTGGAGACATTGATGTATCCCTGGGATCCCAAGAACCGCTCCACGTCGAAGTCATCCGAGGAGAACAATTCAATCTCCGCCACAACTCTCTTCCTCCTCACAACCCTATTACTACGCCGCCCACTATGGGCAGCAGCGATCGCTTTGGTGCACCAATTGGCACCAAAAGCAGCTCTAAAGGAAAGAGGCAATGGCAATGCAGCAGTGACGAGCTGCCTCGACGAAGGCACACGACATGGACGCTCCAACTCTAACAAGCGGGCCGCTGCTTCACCACCACCACCATGTCCACACCCAGGCGCTGCTTTTTTCAGGCAACCACCACTCAAAGAAGCGCCCAGCATCATGCTTGCAAAATCAAAACCCTAATTCTAAACCCAATTCTCCAAACTCACCACCACTCAACCAAACGAGCCTAAAATCCTACCAATCTCATTCCGATGCTGCCCAATTCCTGCGATGGAAATCGTTGTTGTGGCTGTCTCCGAGCTAGACCCAGCTCTTCAAAGCGCCCGCCCGTCGCGAGTGAAGCACACAGGTGTTATTGTGGTCGGCAAATGTAAAAGATCAAGACGTGTAGATTCCCAAATGCATGGCAAAATCGAGTCTTGGACGTGGGTTTAGGAGCAAGCGCCAAGTGAAGAGGACGAGGCGAAGGGGAGGAGGAAGAAAGTGGTGGCCATGGCGATGCTGCTGCTGCTGCTTGCGCTGTGTGGGAGACAACTCAGCCTTCGTTGGCTCCCCTTTGGATAAGGTTTTGGCTCTACGTGCTGACGTGGAGAAACCGCGTCCAAAAACACAAGGTATTGGTTTTGTGTTTTCGTCTCCGTTTTGGTTTTTTTTTGGTTGAATTTTGTCATATATATATATATATATATATATAAGCATGTCAATATGCACGTATATATGGGAATGTTAAATAGACCCAAGTTTTTACTAAATCAGCCCATTTATTTTAACCATCATGAAAGGGAAATAAATAAATAAATAAATCTAGATTCATTTCTCCACTATTGGATTTACAACCAAAGAAAACCAACCACATTCATCACAATTACCATATTCTTCATCATGGGTGGGTCGATTTTGTATAAACATGGATCTATTTAACATTTCCTTAGATAGATATAGATACATAGATAATGAAGTGCTTTTTTTCTTTTTCTTTTTCTTTTTCTTTTTTTGTTGTCTTTCTTGAATGATTTGAAACAATTGCAATATAGATGTAAGTAATATGTGTGAATTTGTCTCAAAGGAGGTTTTAAAATATATTCTGAAAATTAATTGATAAAATGCATAAGTATGGCAAGAATGTTTTTATAGATCCCTCTCTCCTCTCTACTAAATTTGGTATGTATGAACATGATTTCATAGTATACAAGTTTTGCTTTTATAGATCTAATTTGCAAATAGTTTTTCATTGTGTGTATTGGGTAGTGATAGCAAACATTTTGGGTGTTGCACATGATTTGATGGAATTGTGGGGATTATAAACATGATGTCAAAACATACAATATAATATGTAATTAGTTATTCAAAGAATATATACTAATAATATAGGTTTTAATATTGTATTTGAGATATATGAATGTATTCACATGGGTAAAAGATATCTTGTTTATCTTATAGTGTTCAATACAAATAAACATTTTGTAATGAAATTTCATCAATAGCTACCTATCATATTTTTCTACAAAAATTCTAAATTGTAAGATTTGTTCATTATCAGTAAATAACAAGTTATTCTTTTATCAAGCATTCAAGCTTTTTACATGGCATATAATGGGTTCAACAATTCGGTTCTGACTTTTGGTGTATTTTGATTAAATCTGAGTAATTATGTGCATTTTCATTTATTTTATCCATACTTTAATGTATCAGTTTCTTTTTTTCTTTTTTTAATAGTTATTATTATATATAAAGAAAACATTATTCTCCATGTAATTTTTCTTAAATATAAAAACTTCAAAAGATATGTAATTGATATAACCTTGGTTTAAAGTTAAATTACTTTTTTGCTTTGAAAGTAAATTATGAAAACTTTTATCATGAATGAGCATGGAATTTTGTCATGCAACAATTCCATACAAACTTGACCAAAATCTTTGACAAATGATTTTAAAAAAAACTAAAAAAATATTCAAAAATACTACAAAGAAAAAAAAAAAAAAAAAAAAAAATCCCAAACAAGAATATCCCAAAAAAATTCAGCCAATCACTTACAAGTTGGAATGCAATGAATTAGGAGATTGACTGAAGTTAACAGTCACTCCTTATCAGTTGGAATTTAGACAAGGAATTTCGAGGACAAAAGTTTTATTTTTTATTTTTATTATATATATGTATGTATGTATGTATGTATGTATGTATGTATACAAACAATAAAAAATACATACACAAATTTTAAAAAAAGGAATGAATATAATAATCCAATAAATCAACAAAGTGAGTTTTTTTTTTTTCAAAATATTATGGAAAATTTCCACGTCAATAGCATTATTCTCTCATAGTTTTCTAAACATTACATCGTTCAAGAATTACTATCTCTACCACACCACTCCATGTATTATACAAATTCATACAACATTTTACACCTTGCACGCGATGCCGCAAGGTCCCGACGAACTGCGGCACGTCGCATCATCCCGCGGCAACTCGCGGCGACAAATCAGAAGCACGAGGTGCATGCGAATCGAAGATCCATGCCGCTTTGTAGTTGTCGATCCCACTTCCCGGTGATCGATTCTCATCGATTCACGCTGATCTATTGTCTAGTACTACAATCTCAAGTCCTCAATCATCTGAGCGACCTACAATTACGTGAGCTTGTTAACTTTGGTGCCTCACTATCTGGACCCGACGTGTTTGATATCCGATCGATGGAGCGGTCGATTGCCGAATTCCACCGAGAGAGTGGAATCAGGAAAGGATGTGATGCGATGCCTGTCTGAAGGGAATCGAGCTTTTTCTGTGTGTGTGTGTGTGTGTGTGGATTAGGATTTCATGATGTTTTGTTTGTTCTTAAGTTCGATAGTTGTATGTGTTCCTAGCTCCATCGGAGTTGGTCTTGACCTCATCGAGCTTTAACTTGCGGTGAAGGTTTCGATTTCGACAGAGGGGTGGCAAAATTGCGATTAGTTGAAGATCGTGGAGGTTCTCAGCCGGTGCATGAAAGCCTTGATTTTCAAGACGAGGTACTGCACTGTGTGAAGATGATCAAGCTGCATGCATGAAGGGAACAGTGCGCACCGAAGTTAACATCGCGGCACAATCCGCATGTCTTCAGCTGGGCATCCCCCTGGTTCACCATATTGATGACATTTGCACAGAGCCGACACTACGGTGCATATTCCTCTACCAGGATACTGACAATTGTGCGACTAAAACTTTGGATTGTCGCAAATGGATTATGCAGTTTTTCACGTCCATTGCAAGTGACATCGTTGTAATTCCTTCGCAAGTGATGCAAGATCTTTCGGACTTGTACGAAAATGATTTCGTAGTAGGATTAGACTGAGAGTCTGTAATGAAGATCCTCAACAAAGATCCAGAAAAAGACCATCGTTATCTACGGTGACGACACCAACAGCAACTCGGCACCATTCACGAAGTCAACGACGGTCGAGCTGTAAGTCGGTCTCCTATTTTTCACCACAATGTGAAGCATGCACCACAGTCCTACAATCTGGACTAGCGACTGTCACCCACTCGAAACCAAGCTCTCAGCTTCTACTGCCTCCTCTGTTTGTGGATTTACCAAACCACGAATCCAACGGTTTGTTGCGGCTAGGAGGAGCGTGCAAGTGGATGCGTGAGCTCTAGGGTTTTAAGACTATCATTGGTGTATGCGGCGCACACTGAAGTGCTTGCAGTGATTGCGTGAGCTTCGATTGCCTGTAGTCTTTGTCTTCCGATGTGCTCCTCCGTTTATTGCCTTTTTTTGGACCTTCTGACTTCTCAAGCATTTAAAATTATATATATATATATATATATATATATATATATATGTTCATATGTATTTACAGATATTTATGATGTTGCGCATTGTACTGCAGGCAATCTAGTTTGACGATAGCAGGGTTTACTTTCCGCGGCCATCCAAGTGACATGGCAAACTCAATTATGTGTGTCTCCAGAAAACTGATTCATCATGGAGAAAGACCACGAAACAGGTAGCCAACACACTCTAAAGGCTGCAAAACCGTATGCAGTAGGTAAGATTCATGACTAGTATTCGGGAAATTCTGAGGTATGAACAGCAACACTGGCAGGTTTGGTAGTCTACAAGCGGCAACAGAAGAGGTGCATGTCCCTCATCTGGAGCATAGAAAAGCGTGGTTCCCGAAGAAAACAGTACGCATCTTCCGTGATTCAATAAAGACCTAGAATATGTCGCAGTTTTTGTAACGGCACTGTTAGATTCTGCAACAGGTATCCAATGCCAGTGTTGAGTGATTTGTATATTTATTCCCCCTTCCTTGAACCTCACAGAGCGGTTGCGCAAACGTATCTTATCAAGCTGTGTTATTTAGTGGTAGCATCCCTCAGTGCATTGCATAGATTAGCTGTGGCCTATCTATTCTAACATCGGATACTCCCATACTTTATGACTCACTTTTCACAATCTTCATTTAAATGCCGAACTCTTTTGAAAAAATTCTTCACGGATTACGTGCAGGTGAGTGAAGTAGGCATTGGACGTTGAAAAATTAGCGAAGTAATCCTTCGTCGTAGCCTATCACGAGCCAGGAATTTGGTCCCCTTAACCAACTGGCTACAGTCACTAAATTTATGTTTCCATGAAACTTTAACGAAACTGATCTCTTTTATTTTTCTATTTTAACTCAGAAACCCAGAGAAACTGTGAAAACGCTTTGCGGGTGTTCATCCCCTTGCAAAGCTAATGGCTTGTGATTCGTCTTGACTTAAGCTTATCCATGGAGGATTTGTTAAGAACTATGTGGACTGACGTTGTCATCAATGCACCGAGTTGGCACATTATGCACACATGACAAATTCCTTGCCTGAGGCAAAGTGAAAGTTAAACACTCAAGTGCAGCAGCCCGACAGAGCTTAAATTCACAATCCCAGAGAGCAGCGACATTCACTCCCATTCACGCATTCAATAACATGTTTCTCTTTTTTCAAGAATTTGCTGCGTCGTCTTTGTTTACATTGAACCATTCGGATCATGTCCTTCTTCAGAACTTGGCAAAACGAAAGCCACTTCACAAGCACGTGCAGTTGCTGTCGTTTAAACCTGAACATATTCTCATCTCACGCTCTTTCTGATCAGGCACAGAACAATTTGAAGTCCAGCTTGACAGGGCACGGTTAATAAACAACGCAGCAGGTGCTGCTTTTCATAAGCCTTGATGACAGTAAATCGAAGCCTCGTTTTTTTCGCTACCTAACTCAGGGTCTATCAACCTAAGATCTGCGCATTCGATTCCTGCTCAGCCTCATGTGAACAAATTGGCGCAGACACCCAGCGACAACGGGCCATGGTTACAATGCGGCTCCAGGACACCGCTCCGCGATTAGGCAGAGAGCGACCGTGAGCTTGTGCGAATCACACATTGTGAACAAAGGGATTATACTTCATGTTCAATTGCTACAGTAAAAGCACTGTGTTACACTGCTATTCTTGGTTAACCCCCAAATTCAACCAAGATTACTGGGTAAAGG